TACAGCATCCTAAGTTCTTTTTGTTTTTAATAAATCGAGAATCCCTGGCCAATTTCTCAAATAGGTCATCAAGGAAAGACAGCTCGCTTGACTGCTCCTTTCCAAAGGGGAGTTTGAGCACAGGATTGGTATAATTCACTAGAGCTACCAAACAGCTGACTCTGCTTTGCACTAGAGAATAGGAGACATAACACATGGCCAGATAGCAGTTGCAGTGAAAGACAGAAAGCAAGTTGCACAAATACTTGAAGCAGAGGAAGGTACAAGACTATGCAGAAGGTCCAGACAATGAGACTAGTTTTAGGATGTCTCAGCAAGGAAACAAAATGGTTGAGTGCATTTCTTCTCAGCTGTAGCATTCCTAGAAGCTTTTCATAAAAGGATTGAAAAATTGGAATGATGCTACAGATCCCAAGACTTATAATTTTTTTTAAACTGTTTCCTGATTTTAAGAAGGCTCCTGAATAAAGGATGTTGAGATCACTCCAACCTCTGCCAGGAGACTGACCCGTGTGATTTTCTTAAACTGGAGCAAGAGTCCCAGGCCAAGACTTCGAGAACATTAAGTGCAAGTTAGGGTTAGGATAGCTGGTCTGAGTGACCAAAGTGGGCAGTTTAAGGATACTCAAAAGTGACTTGCAAAGGACACTAGAAAACTTGCCTTGCTGTGACAAGGATTAAAGAACCAACTGTAAAGCCAGGAACAGCACAAGACTCATTGAGTCATACCTACATACTCACATACCTACTGAGAGTATAGCGTAGCATACAGATCATACAGTATTATGAGTTGAATTAATTATATAATCTGGAATTACTTTTTCTGTAGTTTGGTATGCTAGTTGTTTGTTATGTAATATTTAAATGGTGATGCTTTCAGTTTGTTACAGTAATATTTTAACATGTGAAATCCTGATATACAATTCTTTTTGTTGATTACTGGGAAATTCATATCTCTTTACAAGTTATCAATCTACAAGGGGACAGTAATGATGAACATGTCAATATGTATTAAGAGGAGCAGCATGATATTTGCCAGAAGGAATATACTTACCCAGTTTTTGACTGATTCACCGCACCTACAAGTAACTTCACTGTCTCAGGATTAGATTCCATGCCATTATGTAAATTCAAAAATCTTCTGACAAAGTCATCAGGTGACATGTATCGCTCCCCATTCTTCTCAATAGTTGCATACTGAAAAAAAATGTCATTAATACATGGCATTACATATGGAGGCTTTAACTTCTAAAGTCATTCTAATTTCTACACTTCCATATTACATATTATACACTTCTTCCTTGCCCATTTTTCACTACAGTTCACAGATAGTAGGAACTGCAGATGCTGGAGAATCTTAGATAACAAGGTGTAGAACTGGATGAAAACAGCAGGCCAAGCAGCATCAGAGGAGCAGGAAAGCTGACATTTCGGGCCTAGACCCTTCTGCAGAAAATTTTCTGAAGAAGAGTCTAGGCCCGAAACATCAGATTTTTTTCTCTACAGTTGTTTGTTTTACCTATCATCACATGCGAGTTATCACTGTCAAGGCCAGTATTAGTAGCTCATCCACAATCACCGTCAAGAAAGTCATGATGTGCATGAACTGCCTTCTTGAACTACTGCAGTTTATTTGGTGTAGATACACCCACACTGCTGTTCAGAAGAGAGGTCCAGGATTTTGATCCAGAAACAGTGAAACAGTGAAATTATTCCAAATCAGGACGGTCAGTGGTTTGGAACGTTCAGGTAGTAGTGGTCCTGTGTGTCTGCTATCCTTGTTCTTTATCCTAGTGGTTCCAACTGACCCAAAATCTTAAGTGAATTAGCACATAAATAATCTGACTACAAGAGCAACTCAGAGGTCAAGAATGGTGAGTAACCCACCTCCTCACTCCCACAAAGTCTGTAAACCATCTCATCCATTCGCAGTCCCTCGCTGACGAGGATAACTCTCTTCCACTCTCAGGGCAAGTCCACAGGTGGCTGTACAGACTGATGTGGCTAATGCAAGCTCTGTTACACTTGGGACAGAAGGTAGTCACACAAAGGGGTAAGGTGGGGCGTTGGTGTGGCAGCGTGCTCAATTCCCTGGTTTCCACTGGCTTCCGCTTTTACCTGAAGGCAAATCTCGAAGCACTCAACGTCGTCCTGGATGCTCCTTCTCCACTTTGGATGATCTTGGGCCAATGATTCCCAGATGTTTATGGGAATGCTGCACTTTGCCAGTGAGGCTATCACTGAAGCGCTCCTCTGTCTACCTGGGGCTCACCTGCTGTTTCAAAGCTGAGAGTACAGCACCTGCGTGTCAGTCATGCTGATGATGTGCTCAGCTCATTGTAGCCGATCAAGGGTGGTCAGTGCCACGATGCTGGGGATGTTGGCCTCATCGAGGATGCTGGTGTTGGTGCATCTTTCTTCCCAACAGATTCGCAGGATCTTGCACAGCCAGCGTTGGTGGTACTGCTCCGGCGCCTTGAGGTGTCTGCTGTAGACAGTCCCCATGTCAGAGTCATACAGGAGGACAGAAACCATCACAGCTCTGTAAACCATGATCTTGGTGTTGGATCTGAGATTGACGTCCCCAAACACCTTTTCCTCAGGCGGCTGAAGGCTATGCTAGCATGCTGGAGGTGGTGCTGAATCTCTTCCTCAACAGCTACTTTGGCCGACAGGACACTGCTAAGGTACTGGAAGTGATCAACATTGTCCAATGTCTCCCTGTGGACTTTGATGTTTGGGGGTTTTGCTCAACAATGCCGGGCCAGGTTGGTTGAAGACCTTGTCTTGTAGATGTTCAGGGTGAGACTGATGTTCTCATATGCCTCCATAAAAGGTGCTGACGATGGCCTGGAGTACATCTTCCAAGATTCCATATACGCAAACATCGTCTGCGTACTGCAGCTCAATGACACTGACTGGTTTGACTTTGGTTCTGGCTTCAAAGCGGTGGCGGTTGAATAATTTCCCTCAGGTTTTGTAAGTTAGCTCCACTCCAGCAGGGAGCTTGTTGGCGGAGAGGTGAAGCAGCGCAGTGAGTTAGATCGAGAACAGTGTTGGGTGATGACGCAGCCTGCTTGACACCAGTCCAAACGAATAATGGATGGGTGGTGGAGCCATTTGTCATTACCACAACTTCCTTATCGTCATAGGGCAGACGAAAGATGGTGACAAACGTCATGGTTCAACCAAAGTGGAGAAAGACACCCCATAATGCTTCACGACTGACTGTGTCACAAGCCTTTGTAAGGTCAAAGAAGGCCATATACAGGTGTAAATTCTTTTCTCTGCATCTGTCCTGCACCTGTCGCACAGTGAAAATCATCTGTTGTGCCCCTCCGTGGCCAAAAGCCACACTCTCAGGGCTCTGTCATCAATCTGAGCAACTTTGATGGACAGTGCGGGAGAGCATGCCAGGAACAGCACCAGGCACACCTGAAGTTGAGGTATCAACCTAGTGCAGCCACCAAACAGGACTATTTGCACGCCAAACAGCAAATGCAGCAAGAGATAGACAGAGCTAAGCGAGCCCACAACCTACGGATCAGAAGTAAGCTCTGCAGTCCTGCCACATCCAGTCGTGAATAGTGATGGGAAATTAAACAACTCACTGGAGGAGGAGGATCCACAAATATCCCCATGCTCAATGACGGAAGAACCCAGCACATCAGTGCAAAAGATAAGGCTGAAGCATTCGCAGCAATATTACAAATTATAGCTACCAGTCTTCAAACAATTTGATTCACTCCACGTAATATCAAAAAACGGTTACAGGCACTGGATACTGCTAAGGCTACAGGTCCTGACAACATTCCGGCAATAGTACTGAAGACTTGTCCTTCAGAACTTGCCGCTCCCCTAGTCAAGCTGTTCCAATACAGTTACAACACTGGTATCTACCAGACAATGTGGAAAATTTCCCAATTATGTCCTGTTTACAAAAAGCAGGACAAATCCAACCTGGCCAATTACTGCCCCACCAGTCTACTCTCAATCATCAGTAAAGTGATGGAAGGTCTCATCAACAGTGCTATCAAGCAGCACCTGCTCAGAAATAACCTGCTCAGTGACGCCTAGTTTGGGTTCCACCAGGGCCACTCAGCTCCTGACCTCATTACAGCCTTGGTTCAACATGGACAAAAGAGCTGAATTCCAGAGGTGAGGCGAGAGTGATAGCCCTTGATATCAAGGCTGCATTTGATCAAGTGTGGCATCAAGGAGCCCTAGTAAAACTGGAATCAATGGGTATCAGGGGGCAAACTCTCTGGTGGTTGGGGTCATACCTGACACATAGAAAGATGGTCATAGTTGTTGGAGGTCAATCATCTCAGCTCCAGGACATCTCTGCAGGAGTTCCTCAGGGTACTGTCATAGGACCAACCATCTTCAGCTGCTTCATCAATGACCTTCTCTCTATCATAAGGTCAGAACTGGGGATATTCAATGATGACTGCACAATGGTCAGTACCATTTGTGACTCCTCAGATACTGAAGCGGTCCATGTTCAAATGCAACAAGAGCTGGATAATTTCCAGGCTTGGGCTGACAAGTGGCAAGTAACATTCACACCACACAAATGCCAGGCTTTGACTATAACCAATATGAGACAATTTAACCACCATACCTTGACATTCAATGGTGTTACCATCACTGAATCCCCCACTATCAACATCCTATGTGTTATCATTGACCAGAGACTCAACTGGGCTCACCATATAAACACAGTGGCTACAAGAGCAGATCAGAAACTAGGAATACTGCAGCGAGTAACTCACCTCCTGACCCCTCAAAGCCTGACCACCATTCACCATCAAGTCTGGAGTATGATGGAATACTCCCCACTTGCCTGGATGAGTGCAGCCCCAACAACACTCAAGAAGCTTGACACCATCCAGGACAAAACAGCCCGCTTGATTGGCACTACATTCACAAGTATCCACTCCCTCCACCACCGATGCTCAGTAGCAGCAGTGTGTACTATCTACAAGATGCACTGCAGAAATTCACCAAAGATTCTCAGAGAGCACTTTCCAAACCACGACCACTTCTGTCTAGAAGAACAAGGGCAGCAGACATATGGGAACACCGCCACCTTCAAGTTTCCTTCTAAGCCACTCACCATCCTGACTTGGAAATATATCGCTGTTCCTTCACTGTTACTGGGTCAAAATCCTGGAATTCCATCCCTAATAGCATTGTGGATCAACCTACAACAGGAGGACTGCAGCGGTTCAAGAAGGCAGCTCACCACACCTTCTTAAGGACAAGAAATGCTAGCCAGCCAGCAACGCCCACATCCCACAAATGAATAGAAAATAAACCTTGGATACACCACACGGCATGTTACACACCACAAGCTCAGCATCACCCCAGGCCTGCATGAAGTGGAGAGGACTGTCCATCAGCTTAACAATAACAAGAATGCTAGAACAGACAGTATCCCCGCTGAGGCACTGAAGTGCAGAGGGAAAGAGCTCTTGGTGCAGCTACATGCTCCTGTCTGCCTCATCTAGGAGAAGAGCACCCTGGGAGAGCTCCAAGATGCTACAGTCATGAGCATTTTCAATAAAAAAAAGGAACAAGTCTGACTGTGATAACTATAGGGGAGTCTCCCTACTGTTGGCCATTGGTAAAGACATTGCCAAGGTCCTCCTCAACTATCATCTCTGTATGGCTGAGGAACCTCTCCCAGAGTCACAAATCTACTGCATCTACAAGGCACAGATCAGAAGTGTGATAAATGAGCTCAAATAATACTGATGAAGCCTGACAGAAATCAGAATAAAACAATATTTTTGATTGACACAATTCCACAAAAGATTCACTTCCCCCATGACTAATGCACAGTCACAGCAGTATCCAGATGCACTCTAGAGATTAATTTAGACAGCACCTTTCAAATCAATGACCACTGCCATCCAGAAGGACAAGATCAGCAGATACATGTGAACATCACCAACTGCAAACTCCCCTCCAAGCCACTGACCACCCTGACTTGGAAGTATTCCATTTCTTTACTGTCTCTTGGTCAAAATCCTCGAACATCCTTCCTAAAAACATTGTGGGTGTGCCTACATCAAATCTGTAAGAGTTTAAGAAAGTAGCTCACCATCACCTTAAAGACAACTAATGATAGGCACGAAATCTTAGCCCGCATCTCATGAATGTATAGAAAGGAATAATCTGTGAACATCTCC